TGTTTCTTAGGAGAAGGCTCCAAGGAGCTACAAGGAGCACTCTCATGCAAAATAAATTGTGGGAAGGTCTCTTGCCTAGAGCTGCTGTCTATAAAGCGGTAACAGATAGCCTGTGAAATTAGAAAGCCGGCAATAGTAATTATTTCCTTAGAATAGAGAAGGGGTTTTGAAAGGTATTATACGCCAGTAAGTACTCATTCTGAACACTGAGGCAGATTTCAGTGTCTAATTAGTTAATTATATGTAATTTCAATAGGTATGGATGTTCCATTTTCTGGAACTGTTATTTTTTCTGTCAAGTGTTAATGGATGTTGGGGGAAAAATATCTTAAGCAAACTGCTATGTAAAAAATTAAGGCAACAAGCAGACCTTTCTAAGACTGGGAGTGCCGCAGGATACCTCTAATTACCAGGTCATTGGCAACCACTGACCAAGTGAGAGCATTTGCATTCGGTTTTTCCAGTGTTCTCCAGTGCTTTCTTCACAGCATCTATGAATGGTAAAAATATTAGTCTTCACCATAAAAGGAAGGTAAATATAAAGCACAGTTAATCCATCAGTTAAGAGAAACCCTGAGCATTCTATGCATCCTGCTGAATCCCACTTTTGGACAATCAACGCAGAAATGCTGGGCAATAGTAGGGCAGTAAAAAACCAGCTGCATGGCTTTCGGATGGAAGTGGCGATGATGGGCGATTCCCTGGTCCATGTGAGCCTGAGGTCGCATTCACTCCCAGCACCGTGACCCTCCTCGCTCCATTTTTTCCCTGATTATTCCTCTCCCAAAACTTTTCTGCAGAGGCGTGTGCCAGCAATACCATCTGCTGGCTAAACCTAGCACTGTCCGCAGCAGCGGGCAGAGGCAGCGGGGCTGGCAGCCCCACGGTGGGCAATTCTCTGCCCCTCGGGCTCCTGCCCCAGGAGGGCTGCTGTGCCCGGGGCAGCGGGCAGCCAGCGCCGGGGAGCAAACCCCTGTCTCAGCCTCCCCAGCCAGAAATGTGTCCAGTTACTCCTATCCCACACATCTCTCAATGTTCTGGAGTTGGGGGCTTGGGGGCTTCAAATCACGCCGCTGAATGGGGAGGAAATGCCTGACCGCCGCTCTGCTCAGCTGCCCAGGGACACAAGAGCAGATGCAAACTCCAGACCGCATGGAGGGATGAGGCACAATCCTTTTTCCGTGTCTCGGGAAAGAAGAGCTCTCTGTGCTGTGCTCTTTGCACATAGCTGTCCCCCTTTAATCCAGGATAAGCATGCAAACCAATTAAGATCATTTTTATGGAGTGAGATAACTGAAAGGAGAAAGCACGTGCAAAACCCCTCCAGGAATTGAGCTGAGTGTGTTTTCACTAGGTATTTCTTTTGGATTAAGCTGTCTGGTTATATGAGCCGGGAACAGAGAATTATCTGAGCAACACTTCAGGGCACGCAAGGAAAGCAGCTGGGAAGCAGTAGATAGCTCTGGCCATTTTTAGGGTTGGGGGGTTTTTGGGAGGGGATACTTTATTTACATATAGAATCACAATATTTCTGTCACCCAGCTTCTGTCTGATGAGTGGCTAAAGAGGCTGGGAGTCTCTGGCCTGGGAAAAAGAGGCTGTGAGGGAGGGATGAGAGAGAGGACTATGAAGGGAGTACCGAGGAGAGCGTAAGAAACAGTTCTTCATTTTCCCAGATAAAATTAGCCGAAAACTCTTGCAGAACAAATGGGGGGAATTAGCCATACACAAAATATGTGGCTGGAGCTATGGATCTCCTCTTTATAGGATGCCACGGATGCTGAGAATTCACATGGCTACCCAGACATCCAGGCCCTGAGGGCATCACCAGCACTTGCTGCCCCCCGGCAGCCCCCCGGGGCTCCCCCCACCCTGGCCATGGCCCAGGACCCCTGTCAGCCCCCCGGGGCTGCCAGTCCCTGCCCCAGAGGTGCCCTAATCCCAATGTCTGCTCTTACGCTTCTATGTACTGAGGCGCTATCAGTGAGAAACTATTAGTAATTCAAGTCAGACGTTCTTGCTGGATAAATTGGGTGAGAGAAAGGCTTAGATTCACCAAAACCGAGGGGGATCTATCTCCGAAGTGCCAGGGATAGCAAAGATAGAGATTGAATCTCTTTCATTCTAGGAGGGGATTTGCATTTGCTTCCATCACCTCTAAAAATATATCCCAATAGCCCAATTGGTGGATAACATTTTTCATGTGTTTTTTTTTTCTTTTCCTGCAAGAAAAATGAGCAATATTTGCTTGATTTGGATTGAAATCTTTGGGGTTGGTTTTGTTTATTTTCTAGCCTCAGAAATAATAAAAGTAATTACAGCTTGAAAGAGAGAAAAAGCTACTTCTTAACCTTTGCTCTATGAGGAAAAGGTTTTAGGTAGGGTGTCTGGCTGACTAAAAAAATGACTGAGAGCTGTGAGCAGAGTCATCCCCCCCTCCAGCGGTCAGTGAACAAGGAGAATAAGCTGGTACTCCCAGGGCCGGCGGAGTGCTTCGCCTTTCCTATGGGATGAATTAACAGACTGAACTCCAAGGAAGTCGGAATATGGTCACACCTTGCGCTCGCCAAGGTCTGACCAGCGGAGGAGCAGAAATACATTTGTCACCTGTTCTGAACCCGTGAATATGAATGGAGTTATTTTGGAAAGGGATGTCTATAGTTCTCATCGAGAGACTTGGCGAGGCAGAGGTGCTGCCTGCCAGCTTACAGGAAAAATTAGATATAAACAGTTGGAAGGGACAAAGATTTTGTCAGCCTCAGCCCTCATGCTTGTCAGGAGGGTGCAGAAGGGGAGTCATCTGCAGGGGTGGCACATCTTCGGGGAGGACTGGGGAGAGCAAAGCAGCTGCTGGGAGCTTCGCTCCACGCAGAGGCTCACACCACCAACAGTCCCTGTTTTGGGACAATTATTTAATCAAGACAAAGCCAAGATGATTCCTGTTCCCCAAAATAAGTTAATAAAAAGTGCAGTTTCAAAGACAATGAGACAACCCTATATTTGCCATAGGCATAACATCTTTTTGGGGTCTGCACAAACCTTCAGGATTCAGAGTCAGCGTGCTTTCATGAAACAAAGAGCCGCTTTAACTGCTACCACTGTATTTTTCAAACCACAGAAGGAAAAGCTCTAGGGATTTTGAAAGCCCCAGACTCGGCAGAGACTCCACAGTTTAATTTGTGAAGTGAGACAACTGACAGATTAGAAACTCAATTTTACTTCACAGGTGCTAAAGCCATGAATCTAGTCCTGTGTCTCTTGAATAGGTGATGATTAACGAGTTTCAAGGCCTTTAAAAATGCAAAGGGCAGTAGTTCAGAAAGGAAAGGCTTCATCTGGCATAGAAAAGAAACAAGACCTTATTGCACGGTGACATGACCCAGGTATTGTCCAGGTGTGCTACCTGAGCACTCAGGTAGGGCTGGAGTAAGGGTTACCGTGTTGAATGGGGATGTAAGAATTCGAAATATTTCTCTTCCCAGCAACAATTCACTGCTGTCATTTTAAAGAAGGGTGGACTCCTCGAGGCATCCTAGAGAGCACTTTTGCATCAAATGCCTGTCTGCATGAAAGTGAGTATCCCTTGGAGCAGTGAGCTGAGCAACGTATCAAGGAATGACAAATAATTGTTCGATATGCAGAGAAATAACTCTGGCAAATTTTTATCCAAAGCCAGCAGGCTTCAGGCTGGGACTGCAGGGCAAGGCAGTCTCCATTCTGACAGATAAAGTGCATGTGTTAAGCAAGAAAAAGTGGCTTCGGGAGGATCAAGTCCTGGACCTGTGGCTCTTGAGAACATGAGTCTGAGGGGAATTGAGTGTATCCTGATTTAGGGACACAAGCACTCTCTTTTCTCCCTTCTAGCACCCTTAATCTGCTATTTTGCAGCTGGTTTGTCCCATTTTGCTAAGCTAGTAAAGCAAAATTTATTTCCTTCTTAGTCATCTTGAAATGCATTCATGTCAGTGGAGAGGTAAGAGGACATTCTCTGCATATGCTCCAAAGCTGTATATTACATTTACCAGATTAAGATGTCTGTGGTTTCCAGTTAAGAGAGAAAAATAAAATGGCGAGAAATGGGCAGGGCAGATGTGGACCTTTGCACACGACTGCAGAATGAAGAACTGAGTCCTGGGACATGGCTGATCCCACCTAGCAACTGCTGTAGAGCCAAAGCAACTTTGCAGAGATTTGTTGCATCAGACTTCTTTCAATACATCAGAATTTTCTTGCTTAAATAAGTTGTCTTCTTTTGTTGAGGTATTGGTTGTTTAGTTCCACAGTTTTCATAAGCAGCCCTGTATCCAGCAGAAACAACATCTTGTAAAGCAATTTGCTGGCACTGCTTTCTCTCTTTCAGAGATGCATCTCATGGAGAGGGAATTACTGCCCTCCCATGTCTCTCCAGCCCTGCGGTGTACCCACTGGATGCTGGCAGATACCCCTTGGACTTCTGACCATACAAGGGTCTCCACAGGCTCACTTCCAGTAAAGAGTTCTTGTTGTGTAGGCACAGACAAGGGCACCCAGATCATTACATGTGCCTCTTGCTGAGGAGACAGGAGAGACAAACTGATGCAAATTGGTAAAAAAACCCAACAAAACAAAACAAAAACCCTAAAGATGGTGACCATCTTAATTTACATCTTTTCCTACTTCGTGAAATCTCCGGCTCCTTTTCACTAACTCTCAAGTGAGTAGAAAAAGAATTGCAAGAGTCCAACTCTACCTTAAAACATCAGCAAAAGGCAAGATTTGCACAGTATTGCATTTTAGTCTTATCTTTACTATAGGCCTATTTGAAGGAATTCTTCTGTACACTACCCATCTGTAGGCATGATTGCAAACAAATAGATTTCAGTCCAAAATTCCACAGTATCAGACAATCCACAAAATTAGTGCTATCAATTAAAAAATTAATGACAATCAAAAAAAACCATTTATAAACCATTTATTTTTGAGCAAATATCCTATGCAATTGTGGCTTGACTACCATTAAACTCCTAACAAAATAATAGCAAAGAATCTGGTAAAATACATTCCTGACAATCTTTCAAGTCCTGCATTACATTTGGAATGGTTTCAAACAGAGAAGAAGATCCAAACCTCACCTATATGAGCTTATTCAGTTTGCATCTTGTACAACTTTTACAGTTTATAACTGGATAAATGATGCATAAAGCTGTAATTTGCCAGTGTTGATCACAATTTATATTAAAATAAATAAGCAAACATACTGAGATGGTACACGCTGAGCATACAGAATTCATCCTAATTACACTTGATCAGAGGTATTCAAGTAAACAGAGTCACACTATGAAATTTCCAGAAGAAAAGCAATCTAGAAGCAACACTCTCACCATTTTCTAAGAGCAATTTTCTCCTGGTATTAGCATTACTCCTATAAACCCATGGGCTAAAGTTACAAAATAAGATGCTTAAGGGTAAATGATAAAACTAGTATGTAAAAAAATGGTTCTTCATCATCTGAAATATAATAAGCTGGATCTTCAGCTTTCAGATATGTCACCCAAGCAGGGATTCTTCACACTTTAATCTTCAAAAGTTAAGCACTAGGATCGTTGTCCTTTCCTTGCCTGTTCAATGCAAATTCAGCTTAACCAAGATACTGATTTTAGAAAGATCCTCCTTTCCCATCCAAGATGCCTGCTTTTATTCAGCCTATGAAGACTGGTGTCTATGTTTCTTCCCCAGCAGGAGGGAAAGAATATAGAAGGCCATCTTAAACCAGCCAGTGAATTTTTACATGGCTCAAATTATGTGTGATGAATCGGGTCAGATAAGTGAAGATTTTTAGGTGCCTCTATCATAAGGGGAGTTCCAGACCTAATGGCGTTTGTCCCTTTGTCCCATTAGGGTACATTTAGTATCCCACAAAACCAAGAGAACTGCTTTTGCTGTGTTTCGTCAGCACAAGAAAATGAAACCATCATACTGGATACCTATAGGGAGCAGTAACGTTGTCCAGCCGAGGATTTGAATTGTAATTTACACCAGATGTGAGCATCCAGGTAGCATTTGACCCATCCTCTTTAACTTCCCCTATGTGAAAGGAAGGCTTGCACCTCACACACCAGCACACTAGTAAACATCAAAATAAGTTTGTGTATTTGAAGGCTGCCCGTCTCTCCACTTACGAGATGAGGACTCCGTATATCTCACTGCTGGCGTTAATGATGTTGTCACGGTTTTTGCACACCAAGCCCACTCTTGCAGGAGTCTCCACAGCTAAGTGAAAAAGAAAAGAAATTCCAAAAGCACTGAAGCATGTGGCCTGCCCCTCCAACGCAGCGGGTAGGAGGTAGCCCCTCAGGGGAGGTGGTGGGTGCGCTGCTGCTCCCAGGTGATGCAGATCCATCACGGTCCAGAGCCAGAGAGGAGACAGGGTGGCAAGCAGAAGAGCCGGAGCTTCGGCATCCTCGCTCCCGCATGTATCAGGCAGCCGATATTCCCACGGGAGAGCCCGGGACAGCCCAGAGTGGTTATAACTGCACTTTGGTTTGTGGCAACAGGATGTGTTTCTGGGAAGGGAAGAAAAACACCCAGTGTTAAAGTTTAGCTGGAGGAAATATTTGTTCTTATGACCTCGGTGGAATAAGAACCACATGTCATGTTTGTCTGAGAGACACATACAGTGAGCCAGCAGCTCAGCAACCGAGCACGGGGCAGAAATTATCCATTATCTCTTTACTTTGGAATGGACTTTAATTTCAGTATTTTCTTTGTTTGTTTTATGACCACAGATTAGAGGTGTTATTGTTACCACTCCCGTGGAAAATGCTATGAATGAGGTAGCACCTCTCCAAGAAAAAGAATTATCTCACTCTTAAGACGATCTCTTTTCTTGGGTGGGGAAGGGGGATGTTTTTCTGATGCATGCTGAGAAATGCTTAGGAAATATCACCTGATTTTCAGGGTAGAAAGGGGAAGCACTCAGTGCCTGCAACTGATAGCCTGTTAGCCTGTGTCCTTGAAAAATAATATGTTACAAGGAGAAAATGTGTAGTTCTGAAGTGTGGCTCCCTTATGTCTCAAAGCATCAGGAATAAGTGATTTTAATGGATGATTAAAAACTTTCCCCCCACTATGATTGCACGGTAGGGAGCTGCCATCAGCAGTGACCTACTTGCTGCCACGGCAGAAACGCGTGTTTCAGATGCTGGCCTAAAAGCAGATGATTGTTGGTTGGTGCTCATCTATCCGCAGGGTGATATACTTAGAAAATAAGTAACATCTGCCAGAGGGCCTCGCTTGCTCTACAGGTAGGTTCAGTTGGGTTCCCTTTCCTTATCCGTACATTGGTGTGGGTACAGCCCTCACAGATGACAGGCACATGAGTGCTGCTTACAGAGAAAGTGTAGCTATCCTTAGTACCCTTAATATACACGTGAAGTGCTGTTAGTGCTGGGCTGGGATATGCGGGTTTTTTTTCTTTGTAAGGGGCTGTCAACCATGAGCCCTCTAAAACTGTGTCAGAGAATCAAGAGATCTGTTTTAAAATGCTAGGCTCATTTTCTACACTTTCTAGGGGGCTCTGGAGTCGTATTTCCAAGCTTTACCATGCAACCATGCAGAATTGTTCCTTTCCAAATGACCTATTTGCTGGGGGTGGTGGCAGCGAGGACTGAGAGAGTCGGTCAGTCCTGTGTTTCTTGGACCCAGGGCTTTACCAGAGACCAACAGCTATCATAAATTAACATTGCAGCAACACTACTGATGAGAAAAGAGTCTTTCCTCAACAAACCTTGCTGTGTTATTAAAGGCACCATTTTGAACATGAGAGGCTTAAACGTGGAGAAGGAAATGTTTCAGCTCGTCCGGGAGGAGGAGTCCGGTTATTTTTTGATGCTGCTTGTGTCCAAAGCACCGCCTGATGCACAGGCGGCACAACTGCATCAAGGACAGCGGCCCTGGAGAAAGAGCCAGGGAAGAGGTTACACACGCGGTTTTATCACCCCAAAACCGTAAAGCTGAAACAGCAGTTGTGCATCACCGCTCCCCCCACCTCCTGCCACCGGGGGTGCGTGGCCCTCAGAACGCTCAGCAGTGAAAAGCCAGACCTGCACCCACCAAAGGACATCAGCCCGCCTGCAGTTCAATTCAAGCCTAATCGCTCTCTGTCATTACATGGCTGCAATTAGCATTAGCAGCATCAGTCTTTCCCTTTTAAGCTTCTCTTAAATAGCTTCTCTTTCACACGAGTGTGAAGCAGTTTGTGTTGTCTGATGTTGTCCCATGCTGAGAAGTACAAGCCCTGCTGAAGAATCTGTGGCGCTTTTTTTAAAATTAAGTATAAAGGCATTGTACGCTTATTTGGGTCCCTTATCGTTTCCAGGAAGAGGCAGATCCTGTGTGACGGTTTAACTGCGGCACCCGCCAACATTCAGCCCCCCCCCGGCACGGCACCTGCACCGTGATGTGCCGCACGGAGGGGCGAGAAGCACGGAGGGTCGCGAGGGGTTTTGGGGGGGCAGACAAGAAGGGGACGGGGGGTCAGCAAGCACGGACTTGAGGGCTGGATGCTGGGAGTGGGGAGGAGATAAGAAGAGCCAGCGTGGAAAGCAAGAGGGAGGTAAGTGAGCCGGGAGGGGACAGTTTAGGTGCCACCCACGGCGCCTGCCTGCTGGGCGAGTAAGATAGCGGTCACCAGAGAGCTGCAATGTTAGTGGTGGTGGGCTGCGGCAAAAAATGCGGTGAGGTGGCAGCTTTAATCAGCTTTTGAGACTTCCCTCACGCAGGAGACCACATTTCCAGGAGCTCTGCAAGGCTGAACACGGCTGCACTGTTGGAAGGGCTGTGCAGGGGGCTGCAGCCTTCTGCTGGGCATCAGCAGATGAGTTAGTCACCCTGTGCTTGGGTGCGGAACAAGGCAAGCAAGTTAAATGGGCTATTGCACGTCGGTTTGGCCATCCTGATCCCACAGATCAATGCCCTGCCTGTAAACATCTCATTATAAAAGCTTCCATTCAAAAAAGAAAACCCGCAAAACCCAAACCTAAAGACTTACCAAACGCAAGCATTGTCACTACACTGAAAAATATTTAGCAAGCGCAAGCACGCTCTTCAAAAACACAGTGCATTTTTGGATCATTAGCTCATTCTCCTGCCCACGGGTAGGACCCTCCCTGCAACACAAGCAGGGTATGAGCAGTCCGGCAGCATGGTGAAGTCCTGGGGCGAGGGGCTGCTGCCCCCCAGCATCTGCGGCTTGGGGGGAGAAGAGCCGTGTGTGGGCGCAGGGCAGGTGAGCAGCAGCTCAGCGCTGCCAGTGCTGAGGGGACACGGGGCTGGGGGGGGACTCTTGATCCCCCCCAGCACATTTCCAAACCTCTGGGTGAAACCAGAGGGGTCACATCTGCACCACTGTCCCCGGGGTGCAACCATTCAGTCAGCCAAAGAAGTTAGACGTCAGCTGTCCATCAGGCGTGACCCTACTCGGAGAATGGCATGTTGGAGAACATCAGAAAAACAGTATTCAGCAGCAAAAGGCCCTTCAGGCATTTATTCCTTCTGATTTCGACTGCTGAATTTCACGTAGCAAAGTTCCTTACTGCCCGAGCTGTCGGCTCTCGGCCCAGCTCCACAGGGCGTGCCTGAAATATTTTTCTATATCTCAAATAAACAGGACACACATGGTGCCACTGGAGTCGGGAGTCTAACACAGCAGGGATTGGAGCTCAGAAAGATCACCGCTCTGTGCACCATAGATTAGGCTGGGAAACCAAGTATCAGTTGCTCATGCGTAACATGCGCAGCACAGTTGTTTGCATGCTATTATTTTCATGTTACTATTTCAAGCAGGGCCTGATTCATCACTTTGTTATTCCAGTTTTACCTTGGTGTAAATCTTGTCATGACAACAATCACATCAACATGTAACTGGCATAATAGAGTCGTGGACCACACCATCAGCAACTTGTGCAAAATAATGAAAATCCAGATTATTTAGTAAAGCGTATAGCTTACTGACTGAATAAGAACTTCTAAAGAAGAACACAAGTACTCCAATGAGTAGCCACTAGAGACCTTATTCTAATTTTCCTCGAGAATGGTAAGTAAAGTTTCTCTCCATAATTCATTAATTTATCCATAATCAATAAAGTATAATGACCTGGAACTATTTCATTTACAGGTACAAAATAAGCACTTCCTAAAGGTTAAGCTTACAGTTTGATACTGCTGGATTATTCAGCACATCACGTTGGCCTTTAAAAAAAAAGCCTAGTGTATAAATGTATGTATATATATATATATATTCATTATATCATTCCTGTGCAATTTTTCTTAATCCCACAAAAAACCTAATATAGAGTCTTTCACTTTAAAGATACTTTTGCACCTACATAAGAACTTGGCCCAACAATAAAAGTAAAGGGCAGAGAACTAGAAGATCATTCTTTCACTATACTGGGGTTTTTTTTCAGTATCACGTGCGTTAAAAATTTTCTGGTTGCAATTTTGCATTTATGCTGAGAACAGTTGTGGTGGGTTGACCCTGGTTGGATGCCAGGTGCCCACCAAAGCCGCTCTATCAATCCCCCTCCTCAGCTGGATGGGGGGAGAAAAATATAACAAAAGGCTCGTGGGTCAATATAAGGACAGTTTAATAAAGTGATAGCAAAGGTTGCGCGTGCGAAAGCAAAGAAAAAACAAATGATGTTATTCTCTACTTCCCATCAGCAGGCAATGTCTAGCCACTTCTCGGGAAGCAGGGCTTCAGTACGCGTAGTGGTTGCTCCGGAAGACAAAATGCCCCCCACTTCCGTCTCCCTTAACTTAGCTTTTATATCTGAGCTGACGTCATATGGTATGGCATATCTGTTTGGTTAGTTTAGGTCAGCTGTCCTGATTGTGTCCCCTCCCAAGATCTTGCCCTGCCCCAGCCTGCCATTGGGGGGGGGCAAAAAAGTTGGAGAGACAGCCTTGATGCTGTGCCAGCATTGCTCAGCAGTAGCCAAAACACTGGTGTGCTATCAACACCTTTCTAGCTACTGATGCAGAGCACAGTGCTATGAGGGCTGCTATGGGGAGTATTAACTCCATCTCAGCCAGACCCAATACACCAGTATTTGGCACGCACCTGACCATCAGCATACTGTGTAGCCAAAGATCCCAGTCCTAGCGCTCACTGCCTAGCCTCAATGCCTATCAGAGGCAATTTGCTGCCTGCATTTGTCAGCACGCTCCAGACAACACTCCTTGGTCTACTCCCATCTCAGACACAAGGGAACTGAGGGACTCCCACTGATTTCAGTGCTTTAGGTAATCAGAAAAAGCTACCACTAATTTCTAATGAGCATTTTGCTGTTTTTTTCACCCTAAACTCTATTTTGCATTATATTGCAAGCTCCATATGATTGCTCCCTGATGCAGTAGATTCACAACCTGGAGGTCAAAAGATGGGTTATTGTTGTTACCATTATCACTGTTAGTGTGCCACTATATTCTGACACTAGAAAACATAGTGTCCCTATGCTGGCGAATGGAGGTAAGCTTAGTTATTCTCAGTTCTATAGTGCTAGCAGCATGGAATAGCATAGCCTTTTACAGTAGTTTGGGTGTTTTTTCCCTGACAAATCCTGAGTGAACAAATAAAACAAGTGCTAAGTAGTACCTTCTTTCTGCAGGAACAGTCGGCCCACAGGACTGCCGGGTGGCACCAGCTCCATCGGCCTCTTGCTTTCGTCATTCTTCACCCAAATGTCCGCTCCAAAGTCAATCAGCAGTGTCACCAGCTCTGCACTGCGATTCCTGGCGGCTGCGTGCAGAGGGGAGTCCAGGCCCTTGCCGCTGTTCACATTTGCTCCTGAATGCCAAGAGATGACAAAGAATAACGACTATACAGTAGCCTATTTCCATTTCCTGCACTAGCTGCTATTTCTCTGAATAATCCATAGATACTGTAGCATTCACCCAGAGGTTGATTTCCTTACCCTGGGGCTTGGTACGACAATTTGCACAGGCACTGGTTGAGGAGGAGTGGGGCTGTGACTGAGAAAATGATCCCAGAGTAATGGTGCATGAGGAAGTCCTTCATCCAGCCCATGAATACCTTCAAGCAGGACAAAGATGTAGTTCCACCTACGGCCCACTTTTGCTCCCCATCCCAGTGCCCCATTCCCTTAAAATACATGCAGGGTTTCAACCTGCTCTGCACCAGAGGCTTAAGCTGGTGGGATTTCCAGATGCCAAAGTATTTGTTGGGGAAAAAATGTGAGGATGGAAAATTTCTAGAGGCCCTTGGTAGAGGAGGATATAAGAAAGCACCCCTGTTCAGTGTTCCCCCATCTGCTATCCTGGTCTAATGGCTCCTAAAACACCCTAAGAAGGGTGAGCTGCAGAACTAATTCAAAACCATTTATAATGTTTTTATAGTACACATTCTCATATATAGAAGGCAGCAAAAAACAAAATAGCAGAAAACAGAAAGTAATAGCCAAACATTTAATATTTAGATTAATTTGTGTTTGACTTCTTCCAAAAATAGATCACTGTGCTAAAAGATGAACACCCACCTAAAAGATGATCTATGTGATGTTTGCTTGTTTTTTCCAAAGCGGCTTTGTTGGTCCATTGTTTTTGTACTAGCTACGTGGCTACTTTAGGTTATATGGCCCCTTGGGTTAGAAGAGTTGCACTACTGTAGATAACAAGAAATGGCCTTGTATAATTAACCAAGTGCTTAGACTTATAGCTAGGTTTGTTTGATGCAATGTATGTAGCGCTGAATGTTTTTATGTGTTGGAAATGTTTCAAACTTTTTATGACCTCAGTGGGAATTAAAACATGTTTGCAGAAATACTACGTAAAAATAATTGAATCAATTGTTTTGGGTAAAGAGGGAGGAAGAGAAAAAAAGGGAATTTTTTCCTGCCCACTTCAAATAACTGCAGCATCGCACACAGAGACACTGGAAAGGATGGTGTTTGTTCCAGGCACCACGAGCCATGTGAAATCCAGAATCACTCATCATTTTGTTGGGAGCTGTAAAGCCAAGTTCCTGGGTCAAGAAGACCCTGGTTACCCTGCTACCCCTTTTAACCCAGGGCTGCCATTAAGAGTGAAACATCTCCAGGTCCCAGAGCAGAAGCTCCTCTAAATTTTTGATGCAAAGAGAATCCAAAGATAGATGTTGCAGGAAACAAAAGCACACCATCCTTTATTTTTCTTTTTACCTGACTCAAGAAGCTTCTTGGCACAGTTCACTTGCTGGTTCTCACAAGCTACATAAAGCGGAGTACCCAGATGCTTGATGTTGTGATCTATATTTACCCCACGGGATGCAAGGAATTCGACACATTGCACATGACCTTAAAAGGGATAAAGGAAGAGTCAACTCACAGAGAAGAGGCATTTTTTTCAGCAAATTCTCTATTGCATGAGTGTAATTTGGCAAAGATTCAATGATTTGTCAAGAGATGGTAGTGTAATACTTTCATCCACTCCAGTGTTTCCAACCTGGAAAATGGGAGCTGCAAAGCCACGGTTAGCAAAACAGGCAAAAGCCCTCGCATTTTATCTGACTCATTTCAGATGTCTACCGAAGACGAGTCAAATCACGTTGTGTTTCTCTCCACTGCTCTTGAAGATAGCCAGATGACTCCCTCAGATGTCCACATGGTAGGGGGCTGACTTGGACAACGCATCCCCTTCCAGATGTTGCCACATGAACTCAGAGGTCCTGAGAGCCGAGCTGAGCTGCCCTCAGTGAGCACCAGGGGTGGGAGGAACTGCACCACTTGTGATGACACGGACTAGGAAGGTATTTCACATGACCCAAATCAAGAAAATGATCTTCTTTAACTCCCTCTTCCACTTCAACACACTGCTAGTAACATGGAAAGGAGTGCTGATGCCTGTGGGGTTACCTCTCTTAGCAGCTTCATGGATGGGGGATGCCAAGTCACAGGGCGGGTGTAGGCTGGCTCCGTGCTGCAGCAATAAATTCAAGCAAGCCACACTGCCACTGACACAAGCACTAAACAACGGAGTGTGCCAGTCGACAGTAGCTCCGTTCACCTGGGGGAAAAATAACAGAATCAGGCTTTTTTTTTTTTCTTTCTCAGTATTTCAAAACTGATGAAAATTATCCAGTTTCTCAACAGAAAACAGTCCTCAATACTTTTTATTTAATACCTTGCAAAAACTGCCTACTGCTTCTGAAGATTACAACTTTTCATTAAAAAGATAATTTAAAAAATCTTTTTAAAAATTGCCCCCAAGTCTCTCCTCCTGCAAAAGAATGTCTAACCAGTGTCGCTCCAGGGTCTCTCAGGAGTTAGTTACCAAGTTAAATGTGTGCCCATTTCTCAGTTATCTCAGCTGAAACACACCTGCTTGTAGCCCTCTCCTGAAACGGTCCATTTTCAGCTGAAAGTGTGCAGCCTTTGCCTTTTTTTTAAATTTTAAACTGAAAGGTAACATCTGTATAATGAGTTAATTTTCTTATTCACTCTAATTTCAACATTAGCTTGAAAAGTAGAGGCCATGAGACACACCCATTTCACCATTTTACTTGCATGTTGTTTCCATTCTCTTCCCATTTTATCATCAGTTGATCCTAATAGTCCTACACCTCTATTTAAGACTCTGCATATTGACACCAATGAGATTAGTGTGTGCAGAAAATAAAACACGCCGTTAACTATTGCAGGATTATAAACCCTTGGTAAGAGGAACTTCCCCTTATTCTTTCAGTAAATGATGAGAACACTGCACCTTCATCTAAAGAATAATAACTGTTGTGTAGATCTCTGCTTTTTGGATTGCTTTATTAAGTGCATTTTATAACATAGGTACCTTAAGCAGAGCTAAGTACAGAGTGTATATCAGTGGTATACTGGCATAAAATGTCCATCGTACTCACCTGAGCACCATGTTTTAATAGGACACTGGCACAAGCAGCATGACCCCCTAGGCAGGCTTCATGAAGAGGAGACACCTGGTCTGCTGTAACAAGATTAACATCGCTCCCCTGATGAAATAATGGAAAATACCATTACAACCACCTACCAAACCCCCTATACAAACAAAAAAGCCCCACCCTTTCTAGCTTCAAATATTTATGTAATCAGACCTTCCTCCACTGCCTGGAGGTATTCATCTCAATAGGTAAGCAGAGAAAGAGTCTGTGATGCTTTGGCTGGAGTGGACACTGGCACAGCACACCAGAGGTCACGCCTTCTACACACTGCTAGTCGAGGCAGAAAGCTGTAGGCAGTGGACTGTCCAATGGGACAATACAGACATCCCTTTAGGAACTCAGCATGATTTTATTTCTACTACACCATGAACAGCAAAATCTGAAATAAAAAAAAAAAAAAGATGACAAATTGCTACTAGAGTTCTTGGCAGGGTCATGACTGCTGCCTTTTTACATCACTGCTCAAGCCTTCTGACCTCCTGCCTGCTGAGTCTGTGGTTGGTTGACCGAATCGAATCCTGAAACGCTTTTGAGGTGTTTTCTGCTCTTTGCAGCGAGGCACACTGAAGGAAAGCCAGCCCCTGCATTAGAAACCATTGGTTTGATTCTACAGGATCTTTTGTTTCTAGCAATCTTGGTGCTCCAGAAGGTTAAGCTGGAAGAGTCTCCAATACCCCTTCCCACTCCATCAACTCCTCCACAGGCTAAATCCGAGAATTTTGAAGAAACGGAGCAGTGAGGTTCAGAAATCGGCTCTCCATAGCTCTCCCTGCCCTTCTGCAGCAGGAACCGGGGCCCCAGCTACCCGCAGATCTGTGGGTGGCTGAACTGATGCCTCATCCAGAGCCTTGCCTGGGTCCTGAGCTGCCCCCCACCCACGGCACCAAACGCTGCTTGCAGGCGCAGGAGCTACAGAAGGAATCCCCCAGCCGCCCGGAGATCCCAGCAACCGGGGTCCCGTTACCTGCACCAGAATTAAAGTATGACCCAGGATATTTTGGCACATCACCAGCTTAGTGCACAGAGCTTGTGCTAGGCAAGGAACCACTTGTAGAAAAAACCCCATCTGTTACACACAGATTTCACCGGATTCTAGTCAACATGACTTTCTCACCCTGAAGGTTTCACAATAAAGCACAGACTGCATTTAACCACTGAACAAACCCAGCAGAGATCACATCAACCCAGCGGAGGGGTACCTGTTTGATGAGTTTCTTCAGAGTAAGCAGACGCCCGTGGATAGAGGCATCGTGCAAAGGAGACCAGTCTGAAACAAAGTCTGCATAAAGAGAAAGACAGGAAAAAAGGCTAACAACTCCATGGACTGTTTCCTCAGCATACTTTAATTCAACTGCATGACCCCAGCAAACCTCTCTTTTTCTACTTTATTACTTGAGCTGCCAAGCTTTCCTTGCAGCAGCTGCCAGGAGAGAGTGAGACAAGAGGACGGCTTCTCTCTGGGTGTGTTTTTAACTCATACCGTGTTGGCGCTGAGCAGCTGCGCTCCCCTTCAGAAGACATGAGAGGGAGTTGCAGAACATCACCTTGCTGTGACGGAGCTTGTCCCTCACTTTAAATTACTTCCAGTGCCTTGGAAGCTCATCACACTTTACCAATTAGCTCAAAAGGACTGTGTTTTGAAGAGGGTATGGCTGCTCAGTCATTTACCCCTGCTCAGAGCTGGGCTAGAGCCAACAATACCTAACAAGAGAAGGTACCAAAGTACAAGGAGATAAATTGTGTTACCTGTTGATTTTGCCTTTCAGTTTTCAGTGTTTGGTGTTAGCCCGTGCAGTGGTGCATTTTAAGTAATAGCTGTATTCTCTGACTTGTTGAAACCACAAAGTGAGGTACAGCACTTACATACCATCTGCAATAGTACAGGTTTTATGGCTCAGAGCCAGCTGACAACAATAATCCCTCTGGGAGACATTTACCTCCTTCAGCACTCATTGCCTCAAAACCCAGTGTCTGGTCTACGTCAATGGCCCAGGTTGCCTCTGGGAAGGAAGAGATGCATTTCCAGAGGGCATTTCACCCAGCTTCTTTTGGAAACACATTTTGCTGCTCTGGAGATACCTCACTCTCCTTCCACTAACTACAGAGAAAACCCCATGACCAACTTGGACAAGCTGCTGAGGTTTCCAGGACTATACTAGGTCACATGTGTGGAACAGGATGCTTAACAGAAAGAAGTCCGCCTTCAGCAACAAAACCTAATAAACCACCACAATTCTTTAAAATAATTTTTACAGACTAGCTGATGATGCCAGTGCTTATACAAGATGCGCAGATCTTGTCTCAGGTATGAACGTGCATGGAGAGCTGAACCCCTCCTGGCCGATGTCCTGCCCCTTCTGGCTATGCCGTGGGGTGCTGGAGTGGGCTGATAACCCACTGTGTCAGCCGTCGCCCAGCCTGTTGGGCTATCGCTCTCTCACCTTTGAGTGTGCTCAGTAAAGGACATCAAATTTAAACAAGATCTAGTATAGCGAGACTTACAATGGCTTTGTGATTGAAAACTTCTGCACTAAGTAAATCGTGACCTGAAGATGGTGGTATCTGAAATGTGTTATCACACACAGAAGATCTTTGCCTTCATACCTGTATTAGGTAGGGGGGAGACTTTTTGCCAGCATAGTGCCTGCAAAAGGTCTGCTATAGATTTATAGTTATTCTCTCAAGACTCTTTTATAACTGTGCAATCCATTTGTCTAGAGTTTTTCGTATAGGTAAAAGGATATTTCTGCTACTACAGTACACAATTTTTGAGCCACTTGGTGTCCATCACAATGCTTATCTGCATAGCACGCTTTTGCAAATATGTACATATTGCATCTTATCAACTCTGAAGAATGGCCCATCGATGGACTAAACTAGGGTAAATTTTAGTGTTTCCCTTCTTGGACACAAGCAGCGGGTCAAATTGGTAGTAGTCACACACCCATCACAAGAGGGAACCCAACTGGTCCCCGTGATAGTTCTTATTTGAATGAAGCAGTTAAAAAAAATCTAGCAGAGTAATCAAGACTTCACCTTCTCTTGTGAGAATCCTTCCCTAACAATGCTCCAGCATGCTCCTGGCTCACAGGACAATCCCAGTGATGTCCTGGAAATAACCTCCAGGTGGGTTTGAAGCCTGAAGTGGGGGGTGAGCTTGTGGAACAAGGCCCTTAGGAACAGGGGTCTCATCAGGGATGATTTGGACAAGCAGCTGATTCATGATTTTCACCATTTCTCCTCATTTCCCTGTCTCTGGTTATGACTGCTATCTAGTTAGGGGAAGGGAAAGGGCGAGGGCTTGTATAAAACACTAGATCATTCATTGGTTTATGCTAGGTTTATATTTACTTGACCTAAGCTGTCACTGGGCACCCCTTGGACAAGAAAGGAGGTTTATTTTGTGTCCACCGGAGACTGACCATGACTAGAGACAGGACACAGATCTGGTGGCTGGAGGTTCTGTTACCTGGTCAGTATATCCTGCTCAAAGGTGCAGTTAAAATGACTAGCAATCAGCTTTGAATTCTGAAGGAGAGATGCCTTGGAGATCAGGCTGGAGGGACCATCAGGCCCAGGCTGTGCCTCGTCCATGTACAGGGCACAGACTCTATCCTGCGCTCTCCTCGGGGAGAAAGCTTGGCACCTTCTCCTGCTCTTGGCATGTATTTGTTATAGCTGTGGGTTTGGGTCTTTTCCTTCAGATCGTAAGTTTGTTGGCAGAGAACTGGGAAGGTGTTTGGTGATCTATTGACCGTGGCCTACAGACTCGGTGTTTGGTGGACACTTTGAAACCTGCCATCTATTCCACTGCTGCCTGTGACCGTGAGGCACTGTCAGAGACTGTGCGGAGCGGGTAGGTAAATCTGCACTGCCAAGTAAAGAAAGCCAGAAGGATAATTCAGCATTCAGCTTTAAGCAGGTGAAGATGTGAAGGCAAGACAGTCTGCACCATTTGGTCTCAAAGACAGAAATGGTCCCAATCTCTTTTATTTAGCAGTATAGAAATGGCTAACAAGACATGAGTCAAGTGATCTTTTCCAGTCTTTTACTGGAAGTCTATTAGTCTATTACTTTCACTATGAAAGCCAAAGGGAAAAAAATGAGAAACTGAGAAGCAACTCAAACATCACAGGCACAAAAAGATTCATCAATTCAGATGTGATTCATATTTGGGAGAAGCCTCAAAATTAGAAGGCCAAAATTAGAACCCCAATACAGCTTTATGGGATGTACCAAGTACATGAAATGAACAGAGGAATGAACTCAGGAAATGTAGGTAATGTACGTCCATTAGTTTTAAAAGAAAATTGTATTCTTTGTTATTAGCAACATTTGAGCTCTGCCTGCCTCCTTCTATGTTCCATGAGCCATGTCCCACAACAAACACGTAGTTCCAGTAAGTTCACAAATATCCTTTGGCTTTAGCAAATGAACAGCCATTTCCAGAAGCTGTGGTTCTGGTCTCATAAGGACAGCTAAACTATGCTGCAATTATTAAAGCACAGTATTACTAATTGACTAAAATAGCTTTGCTTTAAATTATGTGTGTCAAATGATGCTTATCTGACCATGCTGTTGTTCTTGCTGATCCTGCCTGTGTTACCATTGGTTGTGTTTCCAGGCTCCATAAAAAGCTTTTGATTTTCCCCTTTAGAAACAAATGCCATTGCCCAATCTGCATGAGTTGCAAGAGAAGCATGTTTATAGTAATTCTAAAAATTTAGATTGAGGAACAAGTTTTCTGAGCTGCAGCTTGATCTTTTTTTGGACACACAAATACAAGCAGCATTTTGTGCAAACTACCAAGTTGTTATATCATCGTGTCAGCATTCTGGTGACAAAGAGGGAGGTGCATGGTCATGCCATCACATCCATGTGCAGAATTTATCCATTCAGTGCTTGCTTGAGAAAAGGCAGGTTTCTACTGAGAGCCTAAAAAGAGCCAGACCAGACCATAGTCATCTATAGGCTGGCCATTAGCTTGCAGTTTTGCCAAGTCTTAACAATGAATTCAAAGATTGACCACGTAAGTGTCAAAAATAGATGTCAGTGGAAAATAAAAAGAGGTATGTGCCAACATGTCATAATCCAGCTGGGAATTCTGTACTGAGAGGAACCAAGACTTTCATCCTAAATGGAAGTGGAGGCCTATGGTAGCTTCATACCAGCCTTGGACACATTGGGAAGAGGGTGCTTAAAGGCCTGTCTGATGACTAATTGCCACAGCGTACTTCCAAATCTGCTGCCATGAACTGCATGGCCCCAATCTGCCATCTCTCCTACCCTAGCTCCATCTGCAGCAAACACCTCCACCCTGAAGCAATGCTGGGAAGGCAACTTCCCTCCAGGGGAAGGCAAATTTCCCCGCTTCCTGCACCCTGGGTATCACCCTTTGCAAACCACAAAGTCTCTATTTTCTGCCTGCTCCAGGCTGGAACTCGTGTTTCTTGCCTGGAGGAGGAGGGAGGCTGAAGTGGATGTTGGGGTCTCACTCCCCCCTTCTGCACAGCACAGGAGGCACGCCAGCAGTAATATAAACGATCAGTATTTATACCATACACAGGCTTTTCATTGAAGCCTAAGCAAATGCCAGTGCTAACTGGCCATGGACTTTTAAAATCCTGAAATAGTGACTTTTAGGAAAGTCCTCAAAACACTTTGCCCACCAGAGCTGCCCGGTGAGGAGCAAGGCTGGTGTATGTGGGTGGCACAGCTGCGTTCACTGTATGTACCACCACAGGAACAAGGATTTCTGGCGGCCAAAAATATGTACAACTGCTCTTTCACAGAGGAATGAGACTGTTTATCCAAATTTGAAATTTACCCACACCTTAGTCCACAGGCAAGCTGAGTCAGGCCTCAACAGCTTCAACATCTAGACATCCAAAACCCACTGGCTTTCAGTGGCATCTAGCTCCCCTTTCACTGCTGAAAATCCCAGCCAGCCCAGATGTTACATTAAACCTCTGGTCATATTTGATTGCACTGCCATCACTTGGGCACGTGAGCGCTGGCAGGGTGGTGTATACAGAGGGAGCCTTATAGCAATAACCACACAAACATGCAAACCCTGACTGCTCCCTGTGGACAACAGAGCATTCACGGGACCTTTCTAGAAGAGCACTCATTTTTGTGGTGATGCTGAAAGTATCTTTTTTCAGCCTCTGACCATGTGGAGGGTGTTGCATACTCCGTGCCTGTCCCCAGGCTGGTTTACTTCCACGGTGCAGCTTGCAAGGGGCTTTGAAATCCTTTCGGTGGAGGTGTGCTCTTGCATACATATTTGCACACACATATGCCTATGGCATTATATATAACAGTATTACAAATGGTATTTTTCATATTCTAAGGCTTTCCCCTAAAGTTCGTGGTACATGTAGCCTGAGCCACATACATTCCTGCTGTAAATTGCCAGCAGAGATTATTGACTCTGCTAAGCAGCAAGCAGACACAAGAGGAATGGACTGAACTCTAATTTTTAAAGGACCAAATGATCTCTGTGCGGCAGTGCAGCATGTGGGCTCCCTCCTTCCAGCCTCCATTCTGCTGGAGCTCATCTCCAGTGTGGACCTGGTTCAATTTGTACTGTTAATAACATCACCATCCCGTCCCTCCCACCCCAGCCTTAGGATGTACATATGTGACATGCATGAGGAGAGGCAGACAACACAGCAGATATATTGATCATCTTTGTGTTGTGGTTTTAGGGTCTTAATTTTCTAGTTGGTATGAACGGAAGCGTCCTGAGCAGCCCAGGAAAGGAGTGAGGACAATGTAAAGTCACATTATCTTAATTTACCTCATTCCTTCTGCACGCGCCATAAGCTGAAGGAGTAGCCTCTCAGAAAACAGAGCTGCAGGGAACACACCCAGCTAAAGTGTTATGTGAAGTTAAATTACTTGTCTTTTGTCACCGTGTCATATTTTCGAGGGTTCTTGGGCAGACAACAGAGCAATGATCAGAGTGAGGCCATTTGTCTGAATAACTGTTCACCGGTGACCACAACGGCATTTGTCACAACTGACCACAATTCCCTGGCCATTGCAGAAGAACCTGCTAGGGCTGGTGGCTCAGCCTGGGCAACAACACTTAGGTCTGCTCATCTGAAAGAAAAAAGAAAAGGAAAAGGATAAAGGAAAAAGGGAAAAGGAAAAAGAAGAAGAAAAAGAAAACAAGGAAGAAAAAGAAAAAAGAAAAATGAAAAGAAGAAGAAGAAAGGAGAAAGGAAAGGAGGAAAGGAAGGAAGAAGGGAATGAAAAGAAAGAAGAAAAAGAGGAATTGAGCCAGTGCTGAGCTTCCAGCTGGCACTAATCTAAGTCAAACACGCCACATTGCAACTTCTTTTTCAGCATGCTGTGGTTCAAGTGCTGCATTTGTTTCTGCTTGTACAAACTGCAGTACAGAATCAGACACTCTTTCCTGTGATACATCAAAAAAACAACCAAAAATTCAGTATCAAATAGGAATAGCTTATTAAAATCCCTTCTGAAGTGCAAGGGCATGGGGATGTTTTGTGGGACCGACTGTGGACCTGCCCTGGAAGCAGGACATCGGGAGCAGCACGGCACCGTAGCCTGATCCTGCCCTTTGCCACCGCCGGCAGAGGTGGAGGCTTGTGGCGAGGCAGGAGCGCTACTTACCCCTCATCAGTGGGTTCGATAGAGACGTTGCAGATGCCTGGCCTCCAGCTCCTTGCAATTTGCTGGCGCTTTGATTTGTTCCCTCATCATCCATCTCAGCCCCGTCTGTCCAATTTCTGTTTTTTCACTTCGCGGTTGGTCTCCGGAGTTCAAATTCCATCGTCCCGGTGAGCCCCCAGCAGTGGGAGTGATCTATTAAGCAGACTCTGCACGCACGAGTCAAACAGACCTTGCAGCAGACTGGGATGTGGTGCCGACAGCACTTTGTGCAGAAACTCGAGTACCTGGGTTGGGATTTAACGAAACGGCTCCCTGACTGCCCTGGTAGGCAGCCAGCGACCCAGCGAAGCGAGAGATGTGCCTGATGTCACATCCTCTCCAACACGGCACCCAATCGGGGCGCCCGCCGTCCGTTTTTATCAGGAAGGAAATTCTTCGTTTGCCAAAAAAACAAGACAGAAAGAGCCAGTTCAACTAGTTGAGCAAACTCTGCCTGCAGGGGATTTGCAAAGAAAACCTGCAGAGATACGAGCGCACATGCGGATCTGCACCGCTCCCAAGCAAGTTGTTTGCAGGCAACTTCTCCGCGTGCCTCTCTGGACGCTGCAGACTGTGCGAAACCACCCCTCTTATCTGCCAAGCCCTGTCCGTATGCAAGAAACGGAGGGCTGAGCGCCTGCTGCACAGCAGCGATCGCGGCATACCCTACGGATATTGAAAACATATGTCCGGGGAGCTGCGCTTCCCACTGGAGGCCCTGTGTTGTCGGCACGGCATGGAAATCGCGGCACTGCACGGGCTCCTTTCCGTCCCCCCACCGGTTCAATCGATTTCACTGAGTCACGGTCACACCAGGAGTTTGATATCTGAGCAGTGCCCTTTTATTTTTAAGCAATTTCTCGGTCTAAAACAAACATCGGGAACCTACCAGTGAACAAAATGGCAACATTTTTTTCAAGAGGACCACCACCTCATTTCTCTGGGTCTGTTTGCATTCTCATGGATCATCTCCATTTGCACTGCTTTCCTTCCCAAATTAGTGTAATATACAAGCGCGAAATCCTTTTTCTGTCCCTGAATATTTGCCCATTTGTGTACCAAGTTGTTCTGGGTTTGTGTGGCGGGGGTTTTTTGGCAGCAGGGTAAGGTCCGCAGGGCTGGCTCCTGAGAGAAGCTGCTGGAAGCTCCCCCGGCTCCAAGCCGGACCCGCCTCTGGCCCAGGCCGAGCCCCTCAGGGACAGTGGAAACACGGGTGGGAGAGCAGATTTAAGAGGGGAAACCTGCAGGGAGTGGGGGATTGGAACGGGAGAGGAACCCCTCTGTGGGTACCGAGGTCAGGGAGGAAGGCAGGAGGGGATGCCCCCGCAGCCCGCGGGGAGGCGGCAGGCTGTCCCCCCCAGCCCCTGGAGGGGAGCGGAGGCCCCCCAAGATGGCCGCCACTCCGTGGAGCAGGCTGGGACTGAAGGACTGCAGCCCGCGGGAGGGACTCACCTTGGAGAAGTTGGTGGAGGACTGTCTCCCGTGGGAGACACCCCACGGCGGAGCAGGGCCCGGGTGCGGAGGAGTCCTCCCCCTGAGGAGGAAGGAGCGCAGAGACCAGGGGTGAGGAACCGACCCCAGCCCCCATTCCCTGTTGAGGCGGGCAGGAGGGAGGGCTGGGGGGAAGGTGTTCTCAGGTTTGGGTTTACTTCCTAATATCCTTGTTTTGATTTGATTGGTAGCAGATTAAATTGATTTTGTTCCTTCCCCAAGTTGAGCCTGTCTTTTGCCCGTGCCCATAAGTGGGGAGTGACCCCTCCCTGTCCTTGTCTCAACCCACGAGCGTTTCTTTATATTTTCTCCTCATCCCACCAGGGCCTGAGTTGGGGGTGGGGAGTGAACGAGGAGCTGCGTGGTGCTTTGTTATCGGCTGGGCTGAAACCACAGTACAACTGCAAGGAGGCAGAATTTCCATGCAAAATTCTACACCATGGAAATAAAAATTAAGTTGGGTTGTTTTTTTCAATTTGTCTGCTAGGGAAGAATTTGCATTTGTGTATTTGGAGATACAAAGTTGCTAATCCTGGGCTAATTCTGATCCTAACTCAGCTGAGCCTAACCAACTTGGTTTCATTTTTATTCCTATCTATAACACATGCAAGAGATCTGGAATCATATTTAGGGTTTCTTTGTCCATATCTTTAAAAATAATCAGTTACGTTAAAAGATAAAAACAGTAGTGTAACGTCATCCACAAACCCTGTCAGCAGGGAATCTGTGAAGGCAACCTGGGCATGCGTTGATGCACAACTGCTGATAAAATACAGATGAGGACAGGGCCAGCCCCTACTAGGACTCTCCCTGCTGAATGCCTCCTGGATCCCGGGTTTGGCCCCACGTGCTGGATGCAAGCTGACACTTCGGTCTGACTGGAAATTACATTTGTGTCTTAGCCATTGAAATTTCCTCATTAAAAATGTTGTGGGAAAAAATGTGTAAATGGAGAAAGCGGTATAAATATTGGGTTTGATGATTAACATGTAAAATGAGGAATGGAAAAACAATTTTTCCCCTTTAGTATTGTGTGAGTTTAGTGGTTAGGTTGCCACATCTTACGTGTGATCATATCTTTAGCAGTATTAACAAACACGTCAGCAATTCCACTGCTAAAAGGAATCAGCATATGCATCCAAATATGCAATGATAAGGGTTATAAGTGAAGAAGCATTAGCTAAGAGCTTTAAATTCAACCATAATAAGAAGGAGCCTAGAAGACAGAAATCCCTTAGTCCCTAGTCACCCACGGACAGGGAGACTTTGGCCATTTGGTCCTTTGAGCAAGAGACCTGCTGACTGATAGGGTCATCGTTTGAATAGTCTGTTATTGGTTGCACATATTTTGGTCATGTTGCATTATATAAACCTCTACCTTGAGAGATGAGCTGTAGACTGGTCTTCCTGGAAGCTGGTAAGGTTGCACAGAGGACCTAATGGGGCCGGTGAGCCTGCAGCCCTCCCCATGGGGGTAGACATCCCTGCCTTTCATCGCCCTTTCTGAAAGGGGGACCTCTGAGATCCCCACAGCAGGTCGGTAGCCCACAGGCACACTTTATCCTGGGCTGTTGGTGTCCTGATCCACATGTATTTGTATCTCATGGAGTAAATCGACACAGGGTTCACAAAAGGTGTTTCTGGTTTGATCACACGTGTCTTCTGCCAGCACCAGAGAGGCAGAGACCAGGGTGAAGCCACAAGAAGCGCAGAATCCAGTTGCCACGTCCGTTCCTCAGAACTGGGGCTCTGGTCAGGACTACAGGACCACACTAATTTCACTCTTTGGGCATGATTTCTTCTTTGAGTCATGGTATACTCCCAAATAACTAGACACCTGTCCCTTGGGCTGGTCCTGAAGTCTTTGCTTAGTCAGAGCATCTTCAGTTCCTGTGATGATTCCCCCATCTTTGGTCCAACCTTGAAATGTCCTATGTTACAAAACCCTACAGGCTGCTAACAAACTGGAGAAAAGTGACCCTTACCAGGGATGTAGCCATCCCATTTTTTGGCACAAGCAGAATTTTGTCAGCTGTTAATAGTCTTAGCAACAATTCTACCCAAAATTAGGACTCGGCAGACCACAAAACAAGAGTTCTCTATCTTGAAAAAGTAAGCATGTTGTGCCCAGATGTTATTTTCGCATCACCTCTCCTTATGACAGCATTGGGGTAGGCATCTGAAGATCTGGAGCAACCCCCTTGCTCAGCTTACCGTTTCTTCTGATGACAAAGTTTGCTAGAGATTTATGCTGGCAAAGAGAATTACCTGTTAAAATGTGCCAAGGATGAGCCTTTTTAGTTGCTGTGCCCAAGCCACATCCAAAAAAAAAGGAAGGAAAGAAAGAAAAAAAAAGGGAACAAAATCCCTAACAAGTGATTTCACGGTCAGCGGCAAAAACATATTTTTTGCCAAGCTGCTGCAAGCATGAAAAGCCTAGGTATTTCCCATCCATTTACAATGGATGAATAGCAGAAATTTTCTCCACAGAATGAGTCATTTCAGCTCAAAGACTTTAATAAATGTCAAATGAGCTGGAGTCCCCCTGGACACCCAGTAGAGCAGCTGTGGTTCCTGTGGCTGCCTGCAGTGGGTGGGAGGGGAGCGCTTTGGGGGCAGAACTGGAAAGCACTTCTAGCAAAAAGCAGTGTCAGGCTCCAGGTGAAATTTCTTGCCCTCTCTACACTGACAGCCTGTGGGAACCTGCTTGTGGAAACAAGCTGGATTTACTTGTTGGCATCATTTTACAGGAAAGTTTTCACTGAAGTCTCGGAAAACCCCGACCCCAAAAAATCTGTTCCTCAGTCACTGCAGTTATTCAGGATGCCTTGTTTCATATATATGCCTTGCTGTAAATCTGTAGTGACCCTGAAAGCACAAGTAGCAAATAAATTTATCTCACTCATTAATTAGGAGGCATTCTGGCATATCTGGGGACGAGTGGTCTTCGACAGTTACTCAGTGATGAAAGGCACAAAGCTCCTGGGCCAAAGCCAAAATACCTTTATACACATCTCAGGCTACAGGCAGCAGGATCTCACCTTCTGAAACTGTTAAAAGCAAGCATCTCTCTGCAGGATAATGAGATACAAGTAATAAACAAAGGATGTGTGCTTCTGGGCCAGTGTCCTTAAAAATATTTCAGTTTACATTGTGATGGAGACAACACAAAAAGGGAACAGTAGTGTTCACACAGAGTTTGAGGATGATCTTTAAGCAGGTAGCAATTCATGAAGGTCCATCTGAAAAGTGGGCATATTCTTTTAAAAATATTTGGGGATAGATATACCCTGATTTAATATTTGAAAATACAGTAAAATGCTGAACCTTTTAGACACAGCCTGTTCTATACCCCATCATGTGCCCTGTCCTCAGCCAGTGTTACGCTACTTTAATATTAATATTCTTCATTTAATTCTTCTTTAATACTCTTCCAGTTGCCATAACTAGTTGGTATACTTTTTTTTTTTGTTAATGCATAAAATGTGAAAAAAATACACCTTGTTTCCAATGCTAATACACTCTATCACCCTCATGGGGATTGCTACACCAGCCTTCAAAGAAACGCAGGGCCTTTGTCACTACCTATAACCATTTGTTCACTGTGACTGGAGTAAAATACGTGTTTAGTCAGTACCTAGTGCAAGAAAAGTGCAGTGAACAAGGATTGTTAACATCCTAGCTCTAAACTAACTTTCTCCAGGATTCAGTAAGTTCATACATCTCCCTTCTCCAAATACAAATCATAAAGCATGTTCCTTACCACCTTAGGAAAAAAAAAAAGTTTGAATAATGTTTGTGAAGCTGGTGGAGCGCAACATGGGCATCATACAGTGAGTAAGTCATAAGGCCT